ACCTAGGCACCCTACATTTGCCCACCAAATGATGGAGGACTCCTTATCTAGCGAATAATATTGCTTACAAAAGACAGAAATGGCTTGGACGCCGATCAGGATGGACGTCTAAGCAGTGAGCTCCGCTCCACCGGCCCCCAAAAAAGCCCTACTAATTAGACACCCACAGCTTTGATGGGACGGAGCCGAAGAGGCGAGCCCCCCGGGACCCCCAGGGGAACCCAAACAAACCAAGCGCTGGTTATAAAAAGAATAATAGAAAGTGGCGCTAGAGGATATAATATGTTAGAAGGTGCCGCTATACCCAAGTATATCACCACTATATATACTTAAAAAGAGTACAATAAAGAATGAAAAAAGGTAAATGCGCACACTTTAACAAGGAGGTTGTTACCTGACGTATATATTGGTAAAGAGTAACTCCTCCTTATATGTAGTATGTGTATACACTGTAGATATTACCTATACAGAAAATACAGACACAAAAAGAAACATAGTGTAGTCTGTACACAAAACTCAGTAAGAGGGAAATAATTAGTTGAAATCACTCACACTTTTCTGAGCCTTTCAAAGTAGGCTCGGGACTTATGTAGCTCTATATGTCACTTTAAATGGGACATCAGCATTCCTTTACTCTTCAGGCAAGTCTTTCAGTGATCATCTGATGAAAGGTTGGAGTCAGAAGCCAGGAGTATCAGGATGTATAAAACACATTTATTTGTAAAAAAACAAATAAAAACAAATCAAGGATAATGCACAACGCGTTTCAACCATCAAGTGGTCTTTCTCAAGTGCTGTTCAAGGCTACAATGAACCTGCTGCTACATATATAGGGCTTCACATAAAGTGCTAATTACAAACATTTGCTACACATGTAACACTAATTAAAAACTATCATTTCCTTATATGGTCCGAACCGGATGTGTACTGCCACCTCCAATATGGCTCCACATCCGGTTCGGACATACACACCATCAATGCAATACATAATCAAATAACTTGCAGAAATGCCACATATCAAAATAAAATACATTCAAATTCATCCTCAAATATGGTCAGTCAGCCCGCCTCACTCCGAGCGTGAATGACCTAAGATCTGGGAGTACTGTAGATAATGTCCGGTATATCCGTCGCGTCACTTCCGGTGACGCGTGTATTGGTGAAAGCGGTCCGTCGCGTCACTTCCGGTTTCGCGAAGAAGAAAGTCAGCAATATCCATTCTCAGTTTCCGTACTGAGGATGGTATTAATATGTTGTAACGCTGAGGTGGCCATCTTTGAAGTGGGCAATTAGTTCATATTCTCGCCAATCCATATATAACAGATATAAAAGTATCAAATATATCAGGATAAAAATGAAAATAAAAAATATATAAAAAATGAGTGTTAATCTTCATATATAACATCCAATATTATATGAAAAAATATATATTAGACAAAGTTCCAATATTATGTAGACACCTTAATACCCACATGCAATACAACCAAATAAGTGCTAAATATATATAAAAAATACCAAAAACTAACAAACGACGACCGGGACCCAGTTGTTCAGCAAATAATATGTCCCTAACGAAAAAGGGAGATACAAACAATACCTAAAATAACTAATTACCTTTACTCTATCCCCATCCATTTCCTGGCTTACAAGCGCTGGGCCCGATGGATGAATTTTTACAGACGCTGGCAGCAACACGAGAAGAGGCCGGAGGCCCCAAGATGGCGCCTGCTACCACTTCGCCTGATAAATATCCTGCTTCCACCCTGGAGTGCATCGGAGAACAGATCCGCACAATGGCGGCCTCAATGGCTACAAAAACAGATCTCTTGGTCCTTACCACCACGATTCAGGACGCACTGCGGGCTGAAATGGGCGGAATCCGGACGGAGTTAGCGTCGCAAGGCAATCGCCTACAGGAATTGGAGCACTCCCATGCGGCACAGACTGCCAGACTGGCGACGACGGACACAGCACTCACAAGGCAGGGTGACCTGCTCTTACAACTAAGGAGGTTGGTTGAAGATCTCGATAATCGCGGACGCAGGTGCAACATAAGGGTCCGCGGATTGCCAGAAACAGAAGGCGAGGAGGACATAGAAGAGACTCTAACGGCCCTCTTCCGCTTGATCGTGCCCGGGGATGCACAGCTGGACATAAGGTACGACAGGGCACACAGAGCATTGCGGCCCCCGATCGCTTGAGGAAGGCCCAAGGGACATAATATGCTGCATACACTCCTTCTCAACTAAGGACGCCATTATGAAAGCGGCTAGATCCCGACCCACATGGGACTTTCGAGGGGCACAAATATCACTGTTCAACGACTTGTCCTCAGTAACCTTAGAAGCCAGAAGAGCCCTGCGGCCCATCACGACGCTACTCAGGGATCTCAACATACCCTACAAATGGGGGTTCCCATTCGCCCTGCTGGCGAGACACCGAAATGGGTGGGCCTCAATCCGCTGGCCGGAGGAGGCACCCGGCTTCCTAGAGGAGCTAGGCCTTCCACCCGTACAAATTCCTGACTGGATCCTGGGACCTCTGGGGGCCGGGGGGGGGGACATGGCATACCAACACACCCCCATGTCCATCATGACTCTCAACTGCAGAGGCCTGAATATACCGGAATGCCGCTCCCACCTGCTGAGGGTATTACGACGAAAACGCGTATCGATAGCAATGCTGCAGGAGACCCACTTTAAGGAGGGAGCGGCTCCCAAAATCCGAAGCACCTACCACCCCATTGGCTACTGTCTTCCCGATCGCTTGAGGAAGGCCCAAGGGACATAATATGCTGCATACACTCCTTCTCAACTAAGGACGCCATTATGAAAGCGGCTAGATCCCGACCCACATGGGACTTTCGAGGGGCACAAATATCACTGTTCAACGACTTGTCCTCAGTTACCTTAGAAGCCAGAAGAGCCCTGCGGCCCATCACGACGCTACTCAGGGATCACAACATACCCTACAAATGGGGGTACCCATTCGCCCTGCTGGCGAGACACCAAAATGGGTGGGCCTCAATCCGCTGGCCGGAGGAGGCACCCGGCTTCCTAGAGGAGCTAGGCCTTCCACCCGTACAAATTCCTGACTGGATCCTGGGACCTCTGGGGGCTGGCCCGAGACTCCAACGCCTCCTCGGCGACGCAGGGGAAGAACACCGCCGAGACCGGCAAAGCGCCACTGCAACACACAAGGAGCCCAGGCAGACTAGCTCCCACCCCACTACCGCTAACCCGCCAGGCAAGCACTACCCCACCCTCCTCTGGACAGTAACAGGGACGTGTAACTGAATTATGGTCCTCCTGGGCCATGTACACCAGCTCCAATTCTAAGCCTCATCACCTGAGGGGAGACATGGGTATACACAGGACTTGGTAGGGGGACGGGGGGACTTGCAGCGTCTTCTTCCCGCTCCGTGGGGGGCACACGTGGCCGGTACATTCTACCATATGCAGGACAATCCTGAATGGAGTGCGACATGGGACACCCCCACCTTCCACAGAGACACTCTCAACATGAGCAACCCGCCTTCTATACAGGTGGGCACCTAGCCTCTCTCCCCCCCTCCCATCCTCAAGCACAGTGTTGAGGGGAACCGTGGTGGCTTTATGGATAAAGAACATGATGTTGGGAGATGGATTGAAGAAGTCACACCTCACTGAACGCAAGACTTTTGATATCTCCACACACCGGCACACGTAGAGTCATGAAGGGACATATCACCCTAACTAACTGCCCGGGACTCTGGACATTTACAGCAAAGAGACCACCAAAGAAAAGAATACCTCTGATTTGATAAGTATCATTCGTTACAAGTATATGCCGATATTGAACAACCGCAGCATTGTACATAGAATGGGAATGTGATTAACTGTATCCTACATCCGACAGCAGTGAATAGCTGGATGGGGGGATAGGGGAGGGGTGGGGCGAGAGATGAAGACGAGGGAGAGGACAAGAGAGGGGGAGGATGAAGACGGGGGAAGAGAGAGGAGAAGACAAGGAAAAGGAGGGGGGAGAAGGGGGACTGGGTGGGGGGGGAGAGGAAGGGAGAAAAAAACACAAAAAAAACATACACAAATATATAGTTAGCCCCACCGCAAAGGAAACAAGAAACAGGGAAGGTCACTAATACAGAAATTAGAGGGGCGTAATCTTGATTGTCTAAGATGTGATTTGACGATATAACGCTATAACCACATATGTGCTGGCTGGCGTGGGCCACGTGGGCGGGAGGGAGGAGGACGCAAATGTAGATAAACACCTGGCTGAGGCGGGGTGGGGACACAGGAGGGGGGCTCTGGGGGAACCAGAAGGGGCCACAAAAAATGTTGACTGTTAACAAAGTTATGTATGTATTATTATGCTCAAAGCCACAAACCTGAAGTAACTCAGCTTTCGCTCAAGTTTGACAATACCTCCCAAGACCAATCACACTAGGGTGGGGAGCCGGTCGAGGCGGACCAGACTAGAACCCATCTCACCTACAACACACTTGGATATCACCCCGGATTCGGGCTCCAACCATAACTCCACACACACACTTGCAAGACATTCTCAGCGGAGTCCTAGGCGAACACCGATCTGGTAATTGGTGCGACGCCTGACTATTCCTGCTGGGACGCAAGTGTCCCTCCTCCCTTGAGGAGGTCTCGGGGTGACGTTCACCTTCAACCCCGCTGGGTACTCACCCACGGGGGAGACTCTTCTTGTCTCCCCTTTATTTTACCTTCTTTTATCTCTACACAAACACACACACACTCTCCCACACATCGCCCCTCACTACCAGAGTACACACCGACCCAAACGTAGACGGTGACAGACAAGATACTTTGACACTCAAACATACATAGGCCTAAGCAACGTAGAGACCGCAACACATAGCAGTACACTCACTCCCTCGGAGCTGTGCCGCCGGTTAGGCCCCTTGCCCCGCGCGGACACATCTCCTACGGACAGGCCGCCGGGGGGGCATGGCAAACCAACACACCCCCATGTCCATCATGACTCTCAACTGCAGAGGCCTGAATATACCGGAATGCCGCTCCCACCTGCTGAGGGTATTACGACGAAAACGCGTATCGATAGCAATGCTGCAGGAGACCCACTTTAAGGAGGGAGCGGCTCCCAAACTCCGAAGCACCTACCACCCCATTGGCTACTGCAACAACCACCCGGAGGCACGCCGAGCAGGAGTTGCAATACTAATGGCGGCCGACTTAGGGTTCCAAGAATTGGACAAAATGACCGATGAGCAAGGACGTTTCCTCTTCATTAAAGGGGTGATAGCTGAGAGGGTTTACACATTTGCAACCATATACGTACCCAACTCAAAACAAGCACAATTTCTCAGGGGGACACTGAAAAAACTACACAACTTCTCGGAGGGAGCACTGATTTTAGGGGGTGACTTTAACGCCCCTCTAGACCCGCTTATGGACTCATCCACCGGCCACAGCAGCCTTTCACAGGCTCACATTAGATCCATTCGCAAATCACTGGGGGAGTTGACACTGGTCGACTGCTGGAGGGCGATCCACCCCACCAACAAGGACTATACACACTATTCGGCAGTACATAACCGCTACTCCCGAATAGACTACTTGATGATCCGACAAGAAGGACTCTCCCGCATACGATCCACCGCCATTGAACCGGCCACGGCTCGGTCCAGATGGACTTGGAATCCCCGCTATTTAAACCGGCAACCTGGACATGGCGACTGAATGAGGCCCTGCTCCGGGACATTGGAGTGAGGGGGGAAATCACTCAGGCACTAGAGTCATACTTTAGAGACAACAAAACGGAAGATATATCACCGGTGTCAGTATGGGAAGCCCACAAGAGTGTCATACGGGGCACCCTCATCAGCATTGCAACCCGTAAAAGGAAGGAAGCAACACGTGCAATGACAGAAATATATGGCACCATCTCACACCTAGAACTCCAACACAAACGCACGCATCTTGTCGAAACTTATGGGGAACTAATGGAAGCCAGGCGCGGACACATCTCCTACGGACAGGCATGGCAAACCAACACACCCCCATGTCCATCATGACTCTCAACTGCAGAGGCCTGAATATACCGGAATGCCGCTCCCACCTGCTGAGGGTATTACGACGAAAACGCGTATCGATAGCAATGCTGCAGGAGACCCACTTTAAGGAGGGAGCGGCTCCCAAACTCCGAAGCACCTACCACCCCATTGGCTACTGCAACAACCACCCGGAGGCACGCCGAGCAGGAGTTGCAATACTAATGGCGGCCGACTTAGGGTTCCAAGAATTGGACAAAATGACCGATGAGCAAGGACGTTTCCTCTTCATTAAAGGGGTGATAGCTGAGAGGGTTTACACATTTGCAACCATATACGTACCCAACTCAAAACAAGCACAATTTCTCAGGGGGACACTGAAAAAACTACACAACTTCTCGGAGGGAGCACTGATTTTAGGGGGTGACTTTAACGCCCCTCTAGACCCGCTTATGGACTCATCCACCGGCCACAGCAGCCTTTCACAGGCTCACATTAGATCCATTCGCAAATCACTGGGGGAGTTGACACTGGTCGACTGCTGGAGGGCGATCCACCCCACCAACAAGGACTATACACACTATTCGGCAGTACATAACCGCTACTCCCGAATAGACTACTTGATGATCCGACAAGAAGGACTCTCCCGCATACGATCCACTGCCATTGAACCGGCCACGGCTCGGTCCAGATGGACTTGGAATCCCCGCTATTTAAACCGGCAACCTGGACATGGCGACTGAATGAGGCCCTGCTCCGGGACATTGGAGTGAGGGGGGAAATCACTCAGGCACTAGAGTCATACTTTAGAGACAACAAAACGGAAGATATATCACCGGTGTCAGTATGGGAAGCCCACAAGAGTGTCATACGGGGCACCCTCATCAGCATTGCAACCCGTAAAAGGAAGGAAGCAACACGTGCAATGACAGAAATATATGGCACCATCTCACACCTAGAACTCCAACACAAACGCACGCATCTTGTCGAAACTTATGGGGAACTAATGGAAGCCAGGCGACAACTGAAGAACCTCCTCACGCAGAGATACCTCCGATCGCTTCAGAGATCGAACAACATTTTCTACACTCATGCGAACAAAGGAGGGAAACTCCTAGCCCGCATGTTAAAAGTTCGAAAAATTCGCCACGCACACAAGTTCGAAAAATTCGCTTAAACTCAGGCAGTATATCCCAGTTCCCAGATGAGATAGCTGGAGAATTTAGAAACTATTATAACTCCCTCTACAACCTTCGCCCACTGGAGGACTCGGCCCAACATCGAAACTCATTAGAGCACATACAGGCCTACCTACAAGACAACGTGCAGACACGAATAAACCCAGAGGCCGCATCCATTCTCGACGAACAAATCACAATGGAGGATATAGCCGTAGCATTGAAAAACGCGAAAACAGGAAAAGCACCGGGCCCAGACGGATTCTCCACAGGTTACTATAAAAACTTTGCGACGATATTATTACCAAGGCTGACAAAAGCAATTAACAAAGTAGCGGAGGGAGGACATTTTGACACGGAATCTCTAACAGCAACTATAACGGTCATACTCAAACCTGGGAAGGACCCGGAACAATGCAGTAGCTACAGCCCGATTTCCCTGCTAAATGTGGACACTAAACTTTTCACGAAAGTGCTGGCGACCCGACTTCAACGGATACTGCCGAGTCTTGTCCACGTAGATCAGATGGGGTTCATTCCAGGACGCGAAGCTAGGGACAGTACACTACGCCTATTCTCCATACACCATCACACCCGGAAATATCAGAAGCACCTCCTGCTCTTATCCACAGATGCGCAGAAGGCGTTTGACCGGGTCAACTGGACATATCTAACCCAAACGCTTCAGGCAATGGGCATGGGACAGAGGACCATGGCGTGGATATCTGTCCTATATAGCACGCCGAGGGCGGCAGTACGCGTTAATGGGGCACTGACTTCAAGCTTCGGGATCGCAAACGGCACCAGACAGGGATGCCCCTTGTCACCACTTCTGTTCGCCCTGTCACTGGAACCGCTATTACAAGCAATCCGGGATCATCAAGACATCCGCGGCTACACATGGCAGGGTACGGAGCACAAAGTGGTAGCATATGCGGATGACTTCCTATTTTTTATTTCCCACACACGCATCACACTATCCTGCTTACTGTCGGAAATAGATAAATTTGGACGGTTATCAGGATTCAAGCTTAACCTGGCGAAATGCGAGGCATTGAACATCAGCATACCCGCGGCAGAATATGAATCCCTTGGCTCCCTCTTCCCGTTCCTCTGGTGCGCAGGGTCGATGAAGTACCTGGGTATTTGGATACCCACAAACCTGCGGGAGACATACCGGCTCAACTTCACCCCACTCCTACAACAAATCGAATTAGATTTGAAAAGGTGGGCCTACCCTCACATCACGTGGCACGGCCGTATAGCGGTACTTAAAATGAATGTCTTGCCAAGGGTACTTTACTTATTCCAAACCATACCGATAGTTTTACCAACGACATTCTTTTCAACCCTGAAATCGTCAATCATTAAATATATATGGAGAGGGGAAAGATCCAGACTGCGTTATGATCTGCTATGCTTGCCCAGACACAGGGGGGACCTGGCACTGCCAGACTTCAAAAAATATCACCAAGCTACTATACTACAACGCATCCTGGATTGGCATTAATCGGAAACGACCAAACAGTGGGTGAGCCTGGATCAAGGGGGGAACACACCAAAACTAAAGGCACTGGTATGGAGAAAACAAATGACTAGGGGCGCAGGGAGAAGGGAGGAAGACCCAGTGACACAGACGCTGCTCACATGGGAATCCATCAGGGAGGCACCGCATATCTCCCCGACCCCATGCCCTCTAGCACCGATGGCACACAACCCTGACATAGGAGGCGGACTACCAGTAGAATCCTGGACATTCCTAGGCGGTGCAAATTACATACCAATATTCAAAGTCATCCAGGGCGGCAATATGAAGACACTAGACGCATTGTTGGAAGACCGTCCACGATCCCCAATGTCGGTTCTCCGATACATTCAACTAACACACTATCTCCACTAACTTCCGCACAAGGGAAAGTTACAAAGGGATGTAACATGGTTTGAAGACCTTTGCCTACGAGGAACATCGATAGGAAAAGCTATCTCGATCCTCTACCAGTATTTACTGACTAGCCCCACCGCAGAGAATAACCCCTTCCAGCGGCTATGCACAAAACATTCACACCGACCCAATGGGACAAAGCCCTGATATGGCAACATAAAAGCTCTTCCAGCTCACATTACCAAGAAGTTAACTATAAATTGATCTCCATGTGGTATAAAACGCCGATATTACTACACAGGATTTTCCCCACAACACCACCAACATGCTGGAGATGCCAAGATGAAAGAGGAACCATTAGACACATCTGGTGGAAATGCGATCACATCGTCCCATACTGGAACCAAATCAAATGGGACACTCAACTGATCCTCGGGGACGACACTGAATGGTCAGAGGAACTGGCCATGCTACACATCTCCTCACAACCGCTATCCAAATATAAAAAAAATCGATCCTGCGTCACCTGCTGAACGCGGCCAAATCATTGATCCCGGTTTACTGGAAACAGACGAACACCCCCACACGGGAGGAATGGATCCACAGAGTTGAGGACATTAGGGCGGCTGAAGCGTTCCAAGCGGAACTGGCGGGTAAAGGTGCAAAATGCGCAGAAACATGGATGCCATGGTTCAGCTTCCGGGCGAGCGCCTGAGGGGGGTTGGCGGCGGGGCGGGGGGCGGGGGGGCGGCGCGGCTCCCACAATAAAACCATACTATACACCACACCCTACAAACACCCTACACTGAAACGCGCGGACCAAACCACACACTCAGGTAGAAAAACATCACAAACGGCGACAGCCAAAGGGAAAAACAGGAAAGAAACGAATGTTGACAAATAACTGGAACAATGCTACATCCCAACACGCCTGACAGACCACGCTCAAACAAATGACTGATGGACGAGAACTTGACTAACCCCACATGACACCCTATGCCACTATAACAAGAGACGATAGCAGCTAACTAAGATCCCAAGAGACCCAATACTAAAGAAGTGAATATGGGTCAACTGGCTACCAGACACGATAAAACCAACTCCCTGACACACACAGAGCAAACCCTCACTCCTCTCGAGAGAATTCCCGGAAGACTCACACTCCCTGTCCCCATTGACACACGCAACACAATGCATCGTCTTCCTCGTATGCCACGCCTGAAATAACATGCTCCGGAGTCAAGTAGGCTAGTCGGGGAAATAGACCCAAACCTAGACGAAACATACGAAATACAGGGGATGATACCTAGAGGAGGAAGGGAGACCTCTTACCAAAGCGCCCCCAGAGATTAACCAAAAAAAAAAAAAAGACAGACAGAAAGGACCTCCTTGAGGTAAGTAGATACTGGCCTATCTTACTCATAAATGCAGACACCAAAAGGTCCTGACGATTAGGCTCAACTGTCTATTGATTATCCTCATACACCCAAATCAGGTGGGAATCATCCGCTAAAGATAGCTTTAAGAGAATAAAAGAAGAGTTATAGATCTGGTCTGGCACATGGGAGCCTCTCGGATGATTTCTCTGCTCCTCTCTTTGGATGTGTAGAAGGCGTTCGACAGGCGAAG